CCTCTCTCTCTCTCCCTCTCGCTCTCACTCTCTTCATGTCAGTATTTCATGAGCATTCACACAGGCCGATGTGCGTTAATGTCCGCAACGAGATGCGTGTGTAGACGGTCAACTGTGCACGTCTGCCTCCTGTTTACTGCTTTAGATGCGTTTTGCGATAGTACATTTGTGTAGTTGAGTAATTGAATTTCACACTTTCATAACTTTACTGCTGCTGAAATTCAACTTTCCACTCCTTTTAAGGTCATTACTTCAATTTTGCCGGTCCAGCCAAGCCAGTCGGTTTATTTGGCCGGTGAATTCGGTTTATTCACGTTTAGTCACGTTAACTACATTTGGCAGTACTCTTCTTTCGCCCCATTGCCAGTTACACAACCTGACCTGGGCCAGATCAAATTGGCTTATCTATCCAGTCTAGTTTCTTTCTCTCTTATCTATCGGCCCATCTATCCACATGTCTACCTCTACTACCTCCATTTGTCTCTCCCTTTATCTTTCAGTTCGCTTGTTCGTCAAGCTGTCTCTCCACTCATCTCGTCATCTACACTGGCACTGTCTTTTTTGCAGCCCATCCTACCATCTTTATGTGTCTTTTTGGCTCTGCATGCTGCGCTCTACTCAGTCCAGTTGACATGTCTAGGCATACACGTTAACTTATTGACTTTGGGACATATTTACATGTAAATAATCACACTACTTCTTGCCTATCTTATTGTGCATCTACCCTTTCACATAATCTTGCCAATTCTGGTCTCAATTTTGATATCCTCAATTGCCGAGACGATAACTCGTCATTTGGTGGGGTTAAACTCTCCGATTACACAAGGCTTTTCCATTCCACTCCCACTTTTGATGACTATCTCTATTGGCATCTTCACTGCAGACTCGCTTCTCCTCATTCTAATCGGACGGAGAACTGTACGGGCCGCCTCGAGTACCACTGGCTGGGGTGCATTTATACCGGAACAAGCAGAAGCAGACTGCCTCATCTTCGAGTTGTACACAGACAGAAACAGTCGTCACAACCGCACACATTTATTGGCATACTCGAGTGTCGATTTGATGGCTTTTTAATGCCTTTTTTTTCCACTCCTCCCTCCTTGCGGCTCTCGAGCCAGGGAACCTGACCTTGCTCCGCCTGATGGCGAGGCGGAGCGGTAGAATTGACCTTTTCGGGGCTGTCGTTCTTCGGTACCACTTTCGACAAGTCGTCTTCCGACCTGAGACAGCCTCGCGCCTCCGAGGCCGGCTGGCTCCAGCTCGAGCGACTTGCGGCTCGGTAGGGCCTCGTCTGGTGATCACGGTAAAGCGTGTTTGTTGCCTGTAGCCTGACAGACGGCCGGAGAGTAGGAGGAGAACGGTATGGAGGCAGGCTGGTGGGACCCGGAAGGTGGGAAGGGAGGGCAAACAGTGGAAAGGAGTCTGCGGCGGGTCACTCGGCTCCGATGGCCGATGCTCTCGACGCGAGGTTGTGCATCCTCGTGAAGTCGTTTAACGCTTCGTCACACTCCTCGTCGGCGTTGAAACCGAAACGGGCGACATTCATTCGCTGTCGAGTGGATTTTTAGTTGAAGTGGGAGTGTCCTCCGAATCGACGGATGAGGTGAATCTGCACAAATTCACCCATAACAAGCTTTCGCTCGAAATGGTATACAAGTCGGCACTGATGAAGCGAGAGATTCATCAAAAACCATTTTACCCTTTTGGAAACTTTCATTTTGTTGAACTCAATTCATTTTCGGGTGAAAGTCGGCTGCGAAAAGATTAGAAAGTCGATCCGACCGGAGGACGACGGACTGTTCGGCTTCATTTAGCGTCCTTATTGACGCTGTTCCCGTCGTTTCAGATGACAACGTCCGCATCTTTCCTGCCTCACATTGCATACTCCATTAGAGCAGGCTTACAGCCTCATTCAAGCTAACGAGTTGAAAAAACTCACCGACTGTATGTACACCATGTACGTATGCTTTTTGATAAGGTGGAAGGTGAGTTGGTCAGTTCCACTTGTATGGGAACCTCGAATAGTAGTCCTCTTCGATGCTGGTAGTTGAAAGGTTAGCGTGTTTTCACCGGAATTGAAGAAGATTGCCTTGGAAATTGTGTCAACAAGAATATTTCAGTGGAGCTAACCGACGCCTGGTCGAGAGGAGGCCACCGTCGTCTTCTGATAGGATCCAACTTCGAATCTCTTCATCAAGCACTTTCACTTGAAATGGACGTGAACTCAAAAGTTATAAGTCATTACTTTTCACAAAACACAACTTTTTTGCTCATGCAAATACACATCATCTTGTGGCATGTTAGGAAGATATTCGATGAAACTTGTACGAAATAGAGTGAATATATTTTATGCATTCGTGCATTTGTCCATCTGGAAACCGAAGGATGCTCGACTTTCAAAGAGAGTGAAAATTGACGGAATGCGCGAATAGTTCATGCTTCCCCAATCAAGCAATGCTGAACCTTCGTTTGAGCCATCGTGACAACAAAAAATCATCGTCCACCCTCGAAAGGTAAAGTCATGTCGAAATAAATCATGCATACAATATCTATTCACTCAATTTAGTTTAAGGTGACTTCTCCTTTTGGGAAGCAAGGCTATGCAAAAGTCAAGAGAAACATTAGGCCTACTCATCAAATTTTGGGAAAACTCAACTACCATTCCTTCGAATAAAGTTTTTTTTGTGTGTCTACCAGTGAATCAGTAATATGAGATGTATTCACCCAATTTCGTGAATACATCTCATATTACCACTCCCTACTCAGTTGTAACGAAAGAGAGGGGCAACAGCTTTTATACGTAATCTTGAAGATGTTATTCTACCTAACCCAACTTTGCTTCACTTCACATGATTTGGGTATTGCATGCACACAACACAATAGCGCCATATACACAAAGCCACGTTGAAGTAACCGGATCAAGGGCCTGCTCATTTTGGAAAGAAAGCAGTTGCAACTACATCCACTTCCACTTTGTCCGATCAAAGTGTGGGACAAGCGTGAATGATAGCGAATAAAATTAGGATTTTGAAGAACCTCTTGGTTCATGCTTGTTGAGCAGTTGACTTTAATTTCGAATGAAAATGTACTGTGAAGCGAGTCGATGGCGGAGTCGTCTTGAGCATCATATGACAGACACCA